CTACTTTAACAGTTGCATTGCACCTCTCCAGGGAAGAAAACAAAAAAGAAAGAGGGGCGAAACATTTGGGATTCCATCTTGCGACATTAATTCGCATAGTTACTGTTATAAATTTAAAAAAAAAAACAAAAAAAAAGAACCAAAATTGATGAACGTGAACGACGCCATGGCCTTCTTTGGAGATAATGAAGATTTGACGAATGAAGCTTTTCACGCTGCGGCCGGCGACTCAACGACTGCCGTAACGGGTATGGCGGGCGGCGACTTAGCGACTGAAGGCACGGGTCCGGAGGCCATCTCTTCTGGAGAGGTAACTTCCATTTGTTGCAGTTATTTAATTTAAGTTATTTAATTTCATCTGCTTTAATAGTTAAGAAATAGTTGTTTTTATTTGATAATGTATAGGTAATTTGATTTGAATAATAAACAATAACAACAATAATGCGATTTGTTTAGGATTCGTGGTCGTACAAGAGACCAGAACTGATCGGTAATTATCAAGGGCCGAAAATCAACGTTTACAGCCGGCGGTCTATATGTTCTGATATCAAGAACGAGTTGGGCCACGTTGAAGGGGCCTTGACTGCTTTCCAGGGCTCGGTCTTTGGTCCGTTCCTCCAGTTTGATGATAAGGCCAATGTATCTGCAAAGGCTATGCATGGGGTTCTTTCGCGCGAGGTGACTCGTGTCGGTCACAAACCGAACGAGATGTGGTTCCGTATTGGTAACCATTTTACACGATTCTCCGCCCCTGAGTATGCTGTGGTCACCGGGCTTGCTTTTGGATCGTCTGCATTTGACACGAACTCAGCGCCTCCTCCTCTTTCATCGTCGATTTTCTATGAGAAATATAAAGGCAAGCGGATCACTATGCAGCAGTTGTGTGTTGACTTCAAGGCGGGGCAGTTCCGTCACACTCGGGATATGATAGTGAGAGTGGCGAAGATGCTAATGTTGATGTTCTTCATAATTCCTCATGACCACAAGAAGCCTAGGTATATTGATACCTGCTGGTGGGATTTTCTTGAGGAAGACCAGATGTGGGAGAAATTCCCATGGGGGAGTTACTCGTTTCAGTAACTGTTCGACTACTTGCAGACGGCCCAGTGCAATAAAATGAAATATCATATCTACAGATTTCACTGGGCGTTTCTAGTATGGTGCTATGAGGCAATCCCTGCATTAGGTCGTGCATGTGGAGCATGTACCTCGGTGAGACGTCCACCGCGGCTGGTTCACTGGGAACTGAACAAAGTTTTTCTTCCAGATACATTTTTTGACCAACAGGTATTATTTGATCCTAAACATTTTTTTATTATTATTGAAATCATTAGCAAGTGATATCCGAAGTTCTTTTTTAAGTCTTAACGATTTAGTTGGAGGTGAATGAGACCCTGCCGCTGAATGTGGATGAGATTGGCGTGTTGGACCTCTCGAATTTG